CACAATCCACTGTGGCGCATTCTTAACTTTTCAAGATGATTTCTGACATGTTTTTAGTGCTTGCTCCAGCAGAGCTGTGGAAATCACCTCTGGCCCGCCTGGCTTCCAGAAAGTTTCAACACTAGTCCTTTAAGAGTAAAGTAGAATGCCAGAGGAGCGCCGAGAGACCTGTGGAGGTCACGGGCGTCTGCTATATTTACCGGCTCTGTAACCTGATCCGTGGCATTCTGGACAGCCGTGCTCACACTATCTGTCCTCTTGCTCTGTGGGTCTGCAGCGTCCTGAGTAGCGCCCCTATTGCTTTCTGTCCATAGACCCAGCTGCTCTGAACAACAAGGGTGAGCCTTCTCAAACCTCCATTTATCTTCCTGCAGGTAACCTGCTTGGTTCTGGTCTCAACTGTTTGCTCAGCTTTGTAGTGATCTTCTATGAGGAGCTGCGCTGAGGGTTGGGGATAATATTTCCAGATTTTTCTCGCTTGAGTACAAGAAGCTTCGCTTTAAGTACGATGGTAATAAGCTGCTGCATGTTTTCTTTCTAACAAACTCGACTAAACTATCCTCCTCGTGTGAGCTTTACAGGAGCAACTTTCTTAGATTTGATTGTAGGATCTCAAGTGTCCATCCCACTCTCTAATTATCGCTCGTTCATTTACAGTTGAATGTGTCTGCTGTGAAGTTAAGCTTCTAGCTGCTTCACTTCTCTATTTATAGGACTTCCAGGCAATATGAAGTTCCTCACACGCTATATTTGTCATCCATGGAAAGGTTTTCTGGCGTGTTAGCTGTCATTCTGCACATACAGTGCCGTGAAAAAGGATTTCCTCCTTTAGATTACGAATTTGTTTTAGAACGTAAATGTTTCCGATCATTAACATCTGATAAAGTAGTAAATGCAAACTATTAATTAAAGCAAAAAGGTCTTCAAACCAACCTTATGAAATATGAGAGATTAATTCACTTGTGGTTAAATCATAAATTAACCAGAGTAAACCACATTTCTTCTGGTTCAGTTTCAGTGTTCACACTCAGACTTGGTTACCACTAGAGCTGTAGAATCAAGAAATCACATCAAGTGAACCTGTCTGTCTGACAACAGGTAGGGGTTTAGCCTTGATTTAAAGGAATTCAGTATTTCACAATTTTTTGTAGTGTTCTGGAAGTTTGTTCCAGATTTGCGGTGCATAGAATCTGAATGCTGCTTCTCCATGTTTGGTCCTGGTTCTGAGGATGAGGAGCAGACCAGAAGCAGAAGACCAGAGAGGTCTTGAAAGTTGATACGACGACAACAACTCCTTAATGTATTTTGGTACTAGATATTCAGTGCTTTAACAGACATATTTTATGATCTATTCTCCAAGGCAGAGAGCCAATGAACTGGGGTGATGGGCTCTATCTTCCTGGTTTTATTGCAAACGCGAGCAGCAGTGTTCTGGATGGCCCTGCTTCAGAAGCTGTTCCCTCTATCTAAAGCAGAATGTCTGACCATCAGTTTGTAACCTTAAACTCCATCACACTTGGATTAACACCCAGAAGTGCACTACTTTCACTCTTTTTCATTGTATTTGCTTTACACCCCGATCCTGTGTTCTCACTCACATGTCTGTGTTTTTTCACAGGGGTGATCTCTGTGTTTAAACTCTGGGGTGGCATCAGTAGGATGAGCTGCCCCTAAACCCATGAAGTCTGACGCACACTGCTACAAATACAGCAGGTACCAACTTCCCAAACATAAATGAATGATAAAAATATAAGTAAAGCGTTTTTATCATTTATACTTCAGTTTTTAAAGTTGATCAGAGTTTCTAGGAGCCCAGGACTGTTTATCTGGAGCATAAATACGAAGGGGAACAGAGTGTATTTCTTTTAGGCTGGGATAGGGCCCCATATTTATCTTGCCTCTACACACAGTGAGCCGGATTGGGACAAAAAGTTTTAAAGATCACCGTTAGGAGAACTGCAGCAAAGAGTAGCATCGTCTTCTTGCCAAGTTTCTATAACAACTGTCAGACACTGTCTACATGGCAACCAGTTGTTTGGGAGTGATGCCAGAACGTCTGCCATCACAAGTGTAATGTCCTAAGACTTTAACTAGAACGTTGTGCTCTGGTCTGATGAGACTCAAATTGTGCTTTTCAGTAGCACTTCAGCTGGGTTTGGCTGAAACAAAGGTTTAAAAACTTTAAAAAGCACTTTTTGTTCGCTGATATGTATGCTTGGAGATCTGTGATGCTGATGCTTCCAGGGCCTTTTTCTACAAAGGCCCTGGAAACATGCTTAGTGTGCGAGGCACCATGAGCTCTTGAAATGGCTGGAGATTCAATGGTCACTTTAAAGGCGGTGAATATGTTCACAAACCCTTATTTTAGGTTACATATTGTCATTAATTGGCAGAAATTAGTTTTCTGATTTAGACATTAAAGAGTTTGTATTTTTGTCAAAAAAAAATTGTTGTTCATGATATACTTTTTATCGACACTGCAAATAAACAAAACCCGGTCCAGCCAAACAGTCGGTCAATATAAGCCGTGTTGTAGCTTAGAACGTTGGATGAAAAGTAACAAGTTACTGCAGCGACATTTCCGTCATAATCTAGATGAGACCCAAAAATACCAAATCCTCCAGGTACAGCAGGTCACTGAGAGCGCTGACAGGCTGGATGGTTGAATGAATCATCCACCTGATGGTTTCAACTGATGTCAGCAACAGCTTTGATTAAAAGCAGGATTCGTTTTTTTCAATCATTGAGGACACATTCTGTAAAGCTGAAGATTACAATTCTCTTGTCCAAATCACCTGTACTTGAGAAGGTGGTAATAGAAGTTGTCAGGGTTATTGTCTCTAATCTTTTGTAACATATAACATCCATCAGCATCAGTAAGTGGATCAGCAGAGATCGATGAGCTTTTTAATTAGTAACGGAGTGTAAATGACCAAATGATTGAGCCAATGAATAAAGAATGAAGTTGGTCATGTGCCGAGGGTGCAGCAGCAGTAACTGCAGCCCACAGATCCTGTCCTCTGCACTGTAGTCACGGCCTCGTGCGTGAGTCACCAACAGATGGTGATAGTGATAAATGCTAATGGCCTTCTTCCCCTCCAGGTTCTTATTGTTGTCAAATCTAGGCTGTGTAGTGAAGACTGTAGCAGGCGGAGATTCAGGAAAATTTGAATGGAAGATTTTGAGCATGTGTTCTGTTTTTCAGATATTTAAAGGCCATTTGATGTGAAGTCTGTTTGAACTCAATTTGCCTCCTCTTTGAAATTAAGACATATAGGCAGGCACCTGCTTAGCAGAGTTGGTGGCCTAGGTAATGTCTGTTTCTTACTCAGAGGTGGAAGCAGTTTACTACTTTGGTGACTTCTTTAGGAAATAGTTGCGTTAAATTTTATTTGGTGTTGTCAAAGTAGAGAGAGATGAATCCTAATGACACTTTTGACACTTTTTAAAAATAAAATAAAAAAAATTAAAACAATGTATTCTTGTCTTCCAGGTCACAGTTAGATGTTGCGTTCTGTTGGTCTTTTACATAATTTGCCATAATACACATGACATAATGTGGAAAGGTCTAAGCAGGTGAGAACCAATACGACCAGTTAGAATTTATGTCTTAGTGATAGTCAAAGTCAATGGTGGAAACATACTCTCTTGAGCCAAGCGTGGCATAAAGCTGCACCAAGTAACATGTTGCTAATGAGAGATGGGTTTGTAAATCCACAGGAGCCCAGTTGAGCATCTCAGTGTAACAAGAAGATCAATATCATGTAATCCACCTGTCAGTGTTCTTATGTTTGGCTCAATGGAGGTCTGGTCGATGAGGTGAAGAAAAGGTCGTTTTATGTGAGACTGGCTGAATCAGTGCCACGGACGTGTTTGTTTAACAAGACATCATCGCCTACTGGCAACTTCAACCAGATGTTGTGATAGCTCTGTACCTGTCACAACTCTGTAGGTGAAGCAATGTTTTTCTTACATATTGCTGACTTATAAACTGTGAAATTAAAGCAGCCATGCTGTCTAAAAGCAGAGGTGGTGGGGCAGATCACCAGACTCGGAAAGGCTCAAAAAACAGAATCAAGCAATAAAAGTTAAACCAATGATTTTGTAACAGTTATTTTTACACTTTATTGCTTATTTATGGTCTCCTTAGAAAGATGTCATAGTAACGTACCTTCTGGAATAAAAGGTGATTTTCTAGCCATAAACCAATACAATGTTTCACAGTGTTTCCAACCGTTCTCAGGAGCGTCAGACTGAGAAAGAGTTTGTATTTATACTCAACAAATGTTCAGTTCCAGTAGATTTTTGATAACTCTGCCGCTAGTCTGGAGGAGCTGAGTGGGGCAGGGGTGTTCTGTGAGGCAGAAGCTCAGCTGGAGATTGCAGCTCCAAGTAGGAGGTTTGTGCAAATTGTTAGGGCTTTGTGGGGGCAAGCATTCAGGCACCCCGAATGGCTGCTGGGGGAGATTAAAGGATTTCTCAAACTTGGATGAAAGAATCAAAGCAACACTCCAGGTATGTTCTTGATGGAAGAATAACATTATAACACAAAATAAAGCTCAAAAAAGTTGATTGGCTTTTAAACGGAAAAGTTTTTACCCAAGTTTTCGGCACCACTTTTACGCATGCATGCTTGCGCACACATTTTAGCGCTCTTTATTTGGAATCTTTGTAGATCAGGCCCCAAGTATAGCTTTTGGGAAAGGCATCCAGGAGGTGCATTTGAATAAACTACAAAAGTATTATAGCAATATCTGCTGAGACATGAGAACAAGTTCAGATGTTTTTATTTATTTATTTTTTTTTTATCATGCACAGTGCTGTTTGGGTAAAACCAAAACAATTACATCAGAATAAACAGCTGCTGTCAAAGCACAGTAGGGGAGGAGTAAAGGTCTAGGCTTGTTTTACAGCTGCAGGTCCAAAGTGTCCTGCTGCCATTGAGTTGACCACAAACCAATCTGTTCACCGAATGTAATCTTAAATCAAAAGTGAGGCCTTCTGTGTCATATTTTTAGGTCATAATAACCTAAAAGTCAAAATAACTGTTCTGTCAAAATGAGTCATAAACAAGAAAAATAATCAGTTGTACAGAACAATATGTGAAAAGAAAGACATAAATCAAGGTGCCCTGAAGCCCCAGTCAAAGTCCAGACCTCAACCTGATTGAAATGCTGTTGTGGGAATTGTGCAGAGAGTTGTGCAGAAAACAGTGTCTGCAAACCTCAATGAATTCATGCAATGTTGAAAAAGGAGTGGGTCAAAATTTCTCCTTGACATATAAAATTTTACTCCGTACAAAAACGACTACAAATAGTTCTTGCTTCTGAAGGTGAGTAGAATCTGTTGAATCATGGGGTATTCTTGGTTTACACTTGACTTTGTTATTTGAATAAATAATGATAGTGAGGAAATCTGTTTCTAGGTCAAACCCTTAACTGAAGCAGAGTTTAATTCTATTTGGATGCAACTCTGTGTCTATTCAGTTTACCATTTAGTTCTACTTTTTATGGTATCACTACCGTTTCAACTCACTCTGAGCAAATATTACGGTGAGAAAATATTAAGAAAGAATCAAGATTTGAAGGTCATGTCTGCTCTTCTGCAGTTTCGGAGGACCAAGATTTAAAAGCCATTGCTGATAATGTGATATTTATCATTGGTTTGTGCAATTTCACATGGACATGGAGTCAAATTGTGGAGTCATTTTCTTCTGTGACTGCCTTGTTTAATCTGAATGAATTTACTTCTCTCTCTCAAATATTTTTGCGGATGAGCTGAATGCCAAATGCAGTGTTAATTTGTCCACTAGTTTCTATTTTTTCTTGGTCGTTGGGTAGATTCATACTAGCCGAGCATTGCTCTGGGATCCAGTTCCACATATTGAAAGTGAGGTTCGTAAAAAGATTTGGGCCTAGTTCTCTGAAACTTGCCCCGTAGGTGAAACCTCATCTCTCCATCTCGATGCCAGTAGGCAGCTGCTACAAACTTCTCTGGAGTGCACCATGCAATCATCTCTGCCACTCAGTTGAAATATTTTTAATAGCGATGTCCTAAAATCTTGGTGCACCCATTACATCTCTTATGTAATGGGTGCCAGTGGTCTGATCTCTTTTTTCCCCCAGCTGTAGAGGCTTGCTGGTCAGAAACCTGTAATTTTCTTGGTCTGAAGAAAAGACAAGAACGTAGCTACCAGTCAGCAGCTCTGATAGGAAGTTTAAATTGGCCATAACTTGTTGCTACTGTAGCCATGGTAACTGCCAGGTAGCACTACCTCAGGGGAGGCTGAAAATGTAGAATAGCCAGAATGTGTAAGTGTGTGAGTTTTTGTTCCTGTTGTAACATGTGCAATTCATACACTATAGTAATTATTTTTCAAATGCAGTGTGTCTGTGTTCCAGTTCACTGCAGTAATGTACAGTCGCACCCTCTGAATACTTCATATTGTCATGTTACAGCGAAAAACTCTATGTGGTTTATTGCCGTTTTATGTGCCAGCACATAACTGCAAAGAAAAATAAAAATTATACATGATTTTAAAAAATGTTGACAGGTAAAGTAAAACAAATCTGGCTCTACTCTAATACCTTAAATAAAACTTAATGTTACTAATTCCTTTCAAAAGAAGGCTGGCAGCCTACTGGAAGAAAAGCCCATGATAAGTCTGGAGGAGTTGCAGAGATTCTCTGCTCATGTGGGAGAAGCTGTACATATGACAACAACACTCTACAAGTCAGGCCTTCATGGTTCTGTGGGAATTAAACCCTTATTAAAGTGGCAGTATTATGAGCTTTCCTGGCACATAGTGCCATTTTATAGCACTATCAAGTAGCTGTGTTACTTAGGTTGTTATAAAAATACTGTACATGTCAAACATAACTTCACAATTTGTTGACTTGACAGTTGATCATCTGAACACCTACAGGAACTGGGTTCTTGTTTGATTGGAGACAGCTCTGGGACTTTGAACATGGTCAATATATAGTCCTTAGACAGGTGGACATGTTTTGTCTTGGTGAAACACTTAATGATGGATGATATAGCACAGTGTGGTACTACCAGAATATAGCTAATCTGTGCCTTCACAGCATCATTGGTCATTTTTATCCTCTTTCCACATGATGATAATATGTGGTAATTAATGCAGAACAGCGAGCCATCACTGAAAATAACAGGACCCCACTCGCCAGTCCCACCCTTCAAGCATAGCCATCTCTGCTCCGCTCTGCACATCATGGGACAGGGAGCCTGCAGCAAGGCTGAAGCCAGTCACTGAGCCACCCTGTGGGTGAGACGGGGTGCTGTAATTAGTCCAATATCTGTCTCCAGATGGCAAGCGCAGATGTTCTCTCATGCTTGGTACACAATATGGCAAGCTTTATTCTACTATGGTTATCATAAGCAACTGGAGCCTTAATGATGTGTGTGTAGATTTCCTCTCATCTAAATTGGTTCTAACTAGTGATTGGTAATTATTAGTGTATTTTTATTGTGCAAAAATGGTTTTTTTTTTGTAACACTTTATTTGAAGGGGGGTGAATAAGACTGTCATGACACTTTCATAAACATGACATAACACCTGTCATGAACATGAATAAGCACTTTTAATACAAAGTTGACATTATTCAAAATGTCTTTATGTCAACTTGACATTAACCAATAAATCATTACTGTTTAAACTTTACCTTTAATAACATAAAGTTACCTAATTTTTAAAGTGCAATCAGTAATACTTTTATAACAAATTTATATCAGTAATGATTTCTTGGTTAATGTCAAGTTGTCATAACAAAGACATTTTGAATAATGTCAACTTCATATTAAGTGTCATAATTTACCGAATGACGCTTTATGACAACAGTCATAAATATTCATGTTCATGACAGGTGTTATGTCATGTTTATGACAGTGTCATGTCAGTCTTATTCAACCCCCTTCAAATAAAGTGTTACCTTTTTTTTTTTTTTAAATAGCGTGATTAAAACTTTAGTCAGGGCAATTAACACTTATTCAATATCAATGTGATATTTGTGAAAAAGGTTGTTATTAAAAGTGAAGCCAGAAGATGACTTTGTCCTCTCAGATTCTGTAACATTAGAGTCCACATAATTCTTCCTTTTTGTGTCAGAATGCTAAAACCAAAACAACCCTGCCAAACTACAGAGGATCACTCTACTTATCTTCATCATCTGGCTTCATCTGGTTGAACATGGCCTTCTTCTGCGTATGTTGGCCTGCCTCCATCCGAGTGCTCATGTACCTGGTTCGGATCCATTGGCTGAATTATTGATGAAACCTTTTGATGTTGAAAAACAGATTGAGAGAGACCATAAGAAAGCTATGCCAATACGGAGGAGAACATTCTGAGGAAAAGGAAGCCCACTCTCACAGAGCTATGAAGGGAGAGCAGGAGAGCATAGGAAGCAGTAAGAGAGGCGAGATCAGAGCAGAAAGAGCGAGGTTAAAGAAATCGGAGCCTCCCTGGATGAACTCAACACGGATCAGCAACATCAGATACTTTTATTTATTCAGATGCTTCTGCACATGTGAACAGGAGCCTCTCTGAGGCTTTGCTGCAACACAAACACTCTAGGCTGCCAGCCATTACTTCCACCTCACACACGGACTTCACCTGGAGAGACATCTTGATGGTTGGTGATGGGGAGAAAATATTCAGCTTGACGTGTCAAAATAATCTGTTTAATCTGGATTTAAAGTTAAAGTTCTGTGAAATAAGGGTTCTTGTTGACTTCTCCAGTAAACAAGATTTAAATCACAAGGGAACGTTTTCCATAGCTGCATGCACACAGCCCCATGAGTTAATATTTTTGTTGAAACACCTTTCCCTGGAATTAGGCATCTTTAAATCCAGTACATCTCTGCCAGTCTTTCACATCTAGACAGACCTTTTGCTGTTTCTACTCGTTGTTTGCCACGTTGCTCCAGATCAGGGATAGAGAGCAGCTGTGAATATCAATGTTCAAGTGTTGGTAGAGATCAACAAGTCTAGGTCTAGACTTTGACTGGACACATGAATATCAGGGGTTTTTTTTGGGGTTTTTTTGCTCCGTGAATATATAAAAGTCTGCTAAAATCGCAGCTTTGATCACAATGTGAAATCAGAAAGAGCCAAGAGAGAGAGAGAGGAGCACTGTTGGAGTGAACTTGTGCTTTTTGGGTAATTACACGGATCATATTTGAAAGAAGGCAGACATTTTAAATGCAAACATTAAAAAAAGGTATAAAAGCATTTTCTCAAATTGAAAATGTAAACTCTTGATATTTGGCATTTTAAATCCTGCATATGTACTGGTGTGAACTAGAGTAAATCTGCTGGATATGAAGAAGAGAAACTGTAAACAAAAGTATCAATATCCTCATGCTAATATCAGTCCAATACTAATACTCACCTTGACATCGATAGCATAGAGATATTGAGATTGATATGCCCAGCCCCATTATGCACTAATATGTTATACTTGTGTGCATAAAAAAATCCAAAATGACAAAGTGGAAGGGGTATGAAGACTTTTTTTTACAAGACACTGAAAATTGCAGCCCTGTGTCTTTTTTTAAATGTCACAGTTATAATGCACCTGGGCTAATCCAGAACTACAGGTTGGAGAACTCGGGTAAAAACTGACTCTTAGATTTCAGCAGGAAGACTGCAGTCAAACCTCGATCTTTTTGCTTTAAATACCTTTCAAGAACTGTGAAGCTGCGATATTTCTGGTGTGTGGTTGCCAAGGTTACTAAGTGTGTGGAGTAAGATCTGCAGTGCCAGGTCCAAGTTTTTGTCAAGTTGCCAGCTGTATAAATGCTCCAGTTTGCTCTTTCAACTCCCCAGTGGGCTAAGGAAGAGATTCCCTCACCTTTCACCTGTCCTTCCAGTCTTAATCCTGTTCCTGCTGTATTTTCAAACAGTCATAAAAAAACAGCTGGATAAAAGCTGATGTGCTATGAATATTGGGAGGAACTGTGCGCTGCACTAATGTGATCAGTAATAAATGTAGGTAAAGAGGCTCAAATATTGATGGAATCCTAAAGGCAGGGTGATGAGTGTGTGCATGGGTCAGTTTTTGCTTCGGATGATGCAGGCTGACAGCAGATGTGATGTGATGGCAGATAAATTCCTGAATCATTCGTTCAGAGCTCAGGGGAGGCGTGGATGAATAATGGCCTGACTCCTGCCTGCTGTGTTGCTGTGGTGTTTGTATTGATCCCATTGTTGCTGATGAACTAATACAGTGCTTGTGTCTCTTTGCTGTGTCTGCAGTCGATGCAGTCTTTCAGAGGCTCCCCCTGGCTGAAAAACCAGCAGCAACAGCAGCATGTCCCGCGTCTCCTCCACCCCCAAACGCTATGCTGGCTCCTCCTACACCAGCCACTATAGCTCCTACAGCCCCTCCCTGACCCCGGGCCTCAGCACCTATAGCGAGCGGGACCGGCTGTCCACCTACAGGTCCCCCAACTCCACTTCCTCCTCAGGATACTCGTCCAGCTACCTGAGCAGCTCCGCCGCCCGCGGCCGCAACTACAGCGCCTCCTCGGACCCCGATCGAGACCGGGGTCGAACTATCCCTCGCACCGACATCCTCGGGAGTAGCAGCAGCAGCATCAACAGCCGACGGAGCGAGAGCCTCAGCAGAACCCCCGTCAAGAGCTACGGAGCGTCAGGTCTGAGTGGGGGGTCCGCCTACTCAGGCTACAGCTCCTACCAGTCCAGCTACCTCGCTTCTTCACCGGCGGCCTCCAGCATCTCACTCAACAGAAGAAAGTCTGTTTCCCAGAGTGACCTGAGCAGGGACTTGTCCTCCCTGAGCCTCAGCGATGCGTCCTCCACCTCCACCAGTGCCCTACGGAGCTACCACAGTCGAACTAAAAACGTGCCCGAGTCGTATGACATAGGCTCCAGACCGGGCAGCTCGAGCCTGTTGCGGAGCTCCACTCAGGAGGCCTTCAGTAGCAGCAGCAGCAGCAGAGCATATAGCTCCTCGGCATGGGAACCAAGCAGCAACGGGATGTCTGACACCCCGAGCAGGAACTCCACAGTAAGTTCTCTTTTCTTCTTCTTCTGCTTTTACATGATGTGTGCTCATCCAGATATGATCAATAAGCAAGCTGATGGAGGCTGAATAGAATCCAAGCTGCGGTTTTTGGCACTGATGTCCTCTGCACGGCTCTGCTTTTGTTTCATTGAGTTCCCATGTTTTAAAGGAAAACTTAGTGATACTCACATTGCAACTGGTAGAAGTGTTTCTTGACCAGGTGGGGGCGCTGTTGGTCAAATCACTTTGAGTTTCCCTTGAGTACCAAACATATTGATTTACTTGACTTTCTGTGGAAATATTTTGAACCTCTAAATAGAAAGTCCAGATTGTCCCACCCCCCTATATTACGTGGAGTAATTGAGTGTGTGTAAGTAGCTTCTTTGGGTACTGATTCTATTCAGTACCCATAGTGATAAAATAACCTCTTGGACACTTGATGCCTGTTAAAGCCAGCAATTATCTCACTCTCTGCTTTCCTGAGTGAGCTTGGTCTATAGGCCACTCTGGCCTCACCGAGTTCAGTATTTATGAGTTTCCTTGGCAAATATGAGATCAGTCCCGCAGGGTGGCAACATTGTACATGAAAGAGTTGGAAAGCAAGATTTTTTGTTGTTGCTTATTACAATTTTTTTATGATTATTTTGTATGGTTTTTTTTAACATAACTTTGTTATTGTTATTTAGTGGTATCATGGGAGCTTATGTGAAAATGTACCAGACACAACTGAAATTAATTAATGTTTGCCTTAGTCATTTGTTTGGATTTATTTAGTTTCATCTCCAATGTTTTCTTGAGATAAAAGTCTCTCTCTCTCTCTCTCTCTCTATATATATATATATATATATATATATATATATATATATATATATGTGTGTGTGTGTGTGTGTTTTTATTTATGTATCATGTGATTGCATGCTTTTATTTGATATTTTAATAGCACACTCATATCAGTTTTGATGACTTATTTTCTTTACCTTCCTGGAAGTTGTTACCTCCTCAGTTTGGGTCCTCTCGTGACAGACAGGTTAAAGGCAATAATTTGCAAATATATTAATGACTTTCTGTCTAGCTAGCCATTCCTTGAGCAAGGTGGCACTCTGGGTATTGTAGTTTATTCTGTTTTATGGATGGATGATTGTCCGGTGAGGGAGCTGTCTGGTCTGTTGCCAGTGTAGTAGAATTGATATGTTTACATTTGAGCTTTGCACATTATAAATAAATGTTGTTGACTGTTATGTGAACTGAGAAATGTCACCTGGTGGTCTGTGTAAACAAGAGCTGAACTTTAGGCTTCCAGCACATATTCAGAAGCAACACAGCGTGTAACAGAAACCTAGTGTGATTTCCTTGTTGAGTTGCTAAGAGTGTGTGGTGGTCCTCATAGAAACCTGGTAACAAGCATAGCTTCAGGCAGAAACTTCCGCACGTGTCAAAAGCGTGGGTTCACTGCACACGTGTGTGTAGTGCAAATATATGGGTGACACTGTGTCACGCAGATTAAATGGGTGGTTGTTAACTGTGTCCTGTCCAATATTTTGTGCACTGTCCCACGCTGATGAATTTGATGGTGAATCTGAGGAGACCAGTGGTGGTTGCTGACTTGTGACTGAAGACCATCTAAGAGATCTGATCAGCCACTGTACGGCTGGTTCCTGAAACCAGAGCTGGGTCACATCAGGTCAGCCATCTTCAAGAAACCTATTGAAGCTGGCTTATTGTCTGGGTTTCAACCTGATTGTGAAGATTCAGCTATTTGTCCTTTTGGAGCCTGGAATGATTATTCAACAAGTTATTTCAGCTAATCTTAACTGCAAGAACTATGTGTTAACTAAGAACTGTGTGCAACACAATTTATTCCTGGTGGAACTTGATTAAAATGTTTATCGAGCTTACTGCGGTTGAATCAAAATTCTATATAATCGACAAAATAAGCAATATTCTCAATTTAATTCAGTTTAATGGCTCATTAAGAGGCCACCACAGTGTTGAATCAATGACCATTCGGGGAGTAAAGGCTTAATAAAGACCTTAAAGCTTAAGAATATTCAAAAGCTATTTAGTAATGATCATTAAAAATAATCTAACATTGAACACTCCATTGATAAGTTAAAACTGTTATTGTCAATAGAAACAATAAAATTAGCCAAACAAATGCACTTTTTAAAAAAAAAATTACTAATATTATATTAAACATTTCACTTATTATGGACTAGTGGAAAGCAGAATAATGTCAAAAACCTAAACAAAACAATGAACTTCCTGTATGGGAACAGGCAAAGAAACAATGGCTGTCGCAAACTGGCTTAAGCAGGGTTGAGAAACAATGGCATGGTCAGCTTACCTGGACTTCTCTGAAAAGCAACAGCTCTCCTGGTAGCTCAGCCCATGCCCTCCTTGGTCAGCCGGCACAGTAACAGGAGTTTGGTTCACCGTATTTCAATAAAAAGGGAAGTTTTCCCCTTACTGAAAAAAAAGCTTTTGCTTGGCTGCAGATGGCCTTCATCCAAAAAACTTCCAGCTGTGCCCTCTCTCAGGAGGCTTCTCCTTGATTCTTTTTCCTTGTTGTGCTTCACACCAACAGGTGACCCTCACCAGCTTATTCAAGGCAGTGTGCATCTCTCCATGGTGGTGGATTTGCTGCTGCAGGACATATGAGCACCAGACAGCTGTACCACATATTGTTTCTCAGCCAAGACCAGTCCAAAATGTAGGGGAATTTTCCAAAACTCTTAACAGCTACTTAGATATATTCATTGGGAAAATAAGCTCATTTGTCCTTTGTGGATTTTAGCACCTTAGCAAGTAGGTTCCAATTAAAAACCAACAAAGCACTTGGATCCATTTTCCACAGATATGATTGTAGATTGTGTCATGTTCACATTCTATACCAACAAATGAAATTATGTTGTTCAGTTTCAACAGGAGCACACAGAATAATAGTTTAAGCCTCAGTTTAGTCAACTTGTTTAAGACACAAGGTACAGCAGAAAATGCCTTCCATGTTTAAGGAAACAACTCGTCTTTTTGAACATATAATTATCATTTAGTTTAAAGATGCAACTCACACAGGGGTAGAGAGTTAATTAATTTTAAGCTGACTAATCTCACATGAATTAGAGTTGCTGATCCAGACACTCTCCACTAGCAAAATAGTAGGACTAGCCATCTCCAGGCCATAAAAAACAGGAACATTTTAAAAAGGCTGGTTATAGCCTTTAGTATATGTTAACATTTAAAGAAGTCTGTTACAAATATTAAAATAAGAATGTAAAAAAAAAAAAAAGGAATAGTGTTCTATTTGCTTTCAGATTCTGAATTGATAAAGAATTAAAGGATATTCTTCCTCATTTGTACAGGTTCCACTGGCAGCAAAACAGCACCACACAAAGCTTCCACTACCTTGCTTGGCAGTGAATATTCTTTTTGTCATTGTGGCTAAACAGCACAACCCTTGTCTCGTCTGATCAGCAACCTTTTGTCCATGTGGACAATTATAAATTACAATGACTGAGCAATAAACCCATTTCCAATCTTGTCCTAAATGAAAATCTGAACCACATCTGCTCTCTTCTGCCTTTTTTTAATGCCATCTTGTCTAACCATACATCTTAGCAACTATCACCTGTCCTAAATCACACCTGTTCCACTCCACCTTCAGTCCATTTTTCACTTCCCTTGTGCAGTATCTGTATTTAAACTCCTCCATCTCCGTGTTTATACCACTAATACGTAATAGATGTCTCAGTTTCATCGCTCCACAAAAGTAATTGAAACGAGTTTATCAACCACTGTTTGTGAAATACATCCAGTTCTCTTGTTATTTTTTCCCACTTTCCAGAAACTGCAGTCCATCTAGTCATGCATCCGCACAATCCTCCTCTTCTCGTTGGAACATGAATGTTTACAGCCACATATACCAGGATTGAAGACTATCCTAAAATAGGTTTGGCAGAGCCAGGTAAATCCAATCCTGGTGGTTTCTTAGAACTTTGCTGAGGAAAAATAACAGCTGCGTGTGCTGTTGTGCTTCAGTGATGAGTAAGACAAAGTGGATGACACAGCTATCTTTGTTTTTTTCTGCAGATTCATCAAATCCTCTGATTAAACCTGGTCAGAGTCCATCTTCTTGATGTTGCTTTAAAATTCTTAGAAATTGTCTAATGATTAGGTGCAGCATTCAGACATGGCACCCAGGATTCAGACATAGCACTCCCCTCCAAGAAATGCAATTTTTTCCTATGATGAAAATATTTATATGAAATCTGATTCTGATTATATTTAACCTAGATACAAAAATAATTCCTTTTAGTCAATTAGGAATATAGTTATGAGTTAACAACAGCAACAGAAAAAGACTATCGGAATTGGTTATGAACCTATGACCTCATTTGACATACTGTAAGCAAGTAGGTGGAAGAGTCGGATTTCTTGGTGATCATGCAGGCAGAAAGACCAGTTCTGCAGAAATAGCCATCAAGTTTATATGATGCTCAGAGAAGTTTCAAGAAAAAGTTATCAAAACAGGCATTCTGCTTGTGTTGCATTACTGTGTTGTCAGCGAGGAGAACTAGGAGACACAGCTCTACCAGGTTAATCACATGGTGCAAAGCAAATACGAGCATGAATGTACCTTTATTTGATTAGCAAATTATGGTGCATTCGTTGATATCTGTCTTGGAAATTTCCAATTCATCAGTGAGCTGTGAATACAGTTTCTCTTGAAAAACCTCCCTGAGGAACAGTAACAGGTTCAGTTATACCACTGACCGAGTAGAAAATCTCCAGGATCCCAGATCAAAACAGAATTTGTAATGCCTTCTCCCTCTACCACAACAACAGGCTCATTCCCTAAGTGAAAAGTGTCCTCTGTCTTACCTGTCAATGAGTTTTAGTGTTGAAGAAGGTTTGCAATGGTCTTGTTTTGTATGGTGTGTTTGAGAAACTAGAGGTCGTCAAAATACTGCATTTATTAGGTTCACTGTTGGTGACTGTAGAGTATATTCAGTATTTTATGGAGAAAGGTGTGAACTTATGATCACTTCTCAGCACCCTTGAAAAACTGACGAGCTACAGAAAAAAATCTGCTGCCTCCCCTGGTGTACAGTAGAATTCTCAAGTCACTCATATCTAGGGGATGCTGCAAAAGCTAACAGTACTTCACCACATAAAGTCACATGTTGACAGCCACTAGACTTTCCCAAGACTTGGCTTTTAATGCCAGGAGATCACATGAACAATGTCTATTACACTGTTGTATTAATAATAAATGTTTATTAATGACACCTATTTAGACAGTGCAGTCATTGGATGACTTTGATTCAGTCTGACAATAATAAGAATTTGTGCTACTTTTCGGATCCCCTCATAAATTGGGCTACATTTTTTTTTACTTGTTTAGAAATAGGCGATTGTATTCAGTTTTGAACATCAGATTAGGAATTTTGCAAAAAGCACTACTGTGATATCACCTTGGTGTTGATAGTAGTGTGTCAAAAACAGTGTTAAACTTTTGGTCCCACTTTCTTCCTTCAGCTTCCGCTGACAGGCAGTAAGACTAAGGTGGCTTAGCTGGGTGTAACATGTCTTGATTTTTTTTTTACCTCGATTTGATTGTTTGGGCCTTGTGTCTAGACTCTCTGTTGAGCAACATTAGCAATACATTTAAACTGTCTGACTCTCCATTCTCCCACTTGGTCAGACAGCTTATGGTTTGGTTTAGGAAAGAAAAGCCACAATCTGGCTCATGTTTGAGCTTTTTCTTTGTTCTCAGGCAAAGAGGGTCAACATTTTATTGGCTGAGTTTTGTAAGCTGTTATTGTGAGTCTGTTTGATTGGGTTTGTAGGTCAGAGTGTAGACAGTCTGTGAGGAAACCTTACACTTACATAGCTGAGTAGGGCTTTGCACAGCGCCACTTACTGTGCGTACCTGTACCAAGGTCCTGATGTCCAGGGTGGCACACTATTGTTTACACTGAAAATATAAAACTGCACGTTCCAAGTTCTATTATTACACAGAGTACTACTTAGACATGTACACAGACTCCATCTAGTTTATTCTTAAACTTATTATCAAGTCCAGGGTTACTGTGGCAAGAGCCTGTGCAGGACTTTCTGACTTCTCTTCTTCTTGTAGAACTCTACTTTTCCTGTCAGTACATCTGATTCTGACAGATGGCGTCGTCTGCTGTCTAAACATCTTGAAGTCACTTCCTGGGTTCAACCAAGAGTTTCTGTCACAGAGCAGAGTCTACTTGTGCACAGCATGTCTAGCCACCAAATTAGGGCTGTTATGTCACCCAGAAACGCCTGGCTACAATACTGTCAAGGATTGATGAAGGTAGATCAGTGTTTGTGTGATGGCCCAAGGACCTCTTAAGTAGTGACGCAGACTAATGCAACTTTTGTGACAACAAAACAAACAAACATAATTCTAAACCATTTGGCTGTTTTGTCAATCCCAGCAGATGTCATGAAGGTCACCATACCAGAGAAATCTGGAGAGCAGGTCTGTTTCTTTAAATGAATCTGACTACAGTAATGTCAACTAAAAGCCCAAGGAAAGAAGGGATGGATTAATGCAAAAAATTTGGGCCAATATTAATTTCTGATATTAATATTGCTGTAAGGGCAGATAACCAGTATTTACCAATGCTAATTTTATAACATTTTATAAAGACAGCTTTAAAAAAGTGCCGTACTGCATCCATGTCACAATCACATGCTCAAACATACCACTTGGCCACCTCGTTTCCCCCCCTCAAAACATATACATAAACTGTAACAAGATAGAAATGAATGTTGGTTTTTAATATCAACCCAGCGTTACTTAATGGATCAACACTAGTATGTTAAAATGGCAAGTACCGTTATCACTTTGAATACCAATGTATTGTGCATCCCTAAAGAAAAGTTGCGATAGAAAGTGGTTTTGCTCCAGACAAACGTAATGCTGTTAGATGGTCATGTTTTCTGGCTACTGATGTCTTAGCAGTTACTTGTGTCTTACTTCGACAAAACTCAAGGACTAGAATCAGCAGCAAGCTACGACGTACAGCATGGCTATCCACAAAAAGACGTGCCTTAAAAACTAAATACTGTTCATGTTTGCTTGTAGTTAATCAAACTATTGTTCCAGTCACCACCCCACACCACCTTACATAATACACATAGAAAAAGGGTCAAGTTCATTCCTTCATAGAACACTGAAGACCTGCTTTGGTTGTAAGCTTTTGAACAGTTTAATAATTACTGTTATACCATCAGTAATGTAAGTGATAATATTCAGAGTTTTGTTTCAACTTTTTGTCTCTCTCCGCTTCATAATTAGCAAATAAGCTCATTATTTATAAACCAAATAACTATTTAAAGAAAGAGATGTTTTCGCAAAAAATCCTTCTCTCTGTTATTTCCATTTGTCCCATGATTGTACAGCATGCTTCATTATCTTCTGGTACACTGACAGAGTGTTCTGTCCTGAAGCACGACCTCATACTGGGATCTTCAATGTACTCCCAGTGAGGCATCACTTAGCCTTCCATAAATGACTGTAAAATATGTTGATCTCCTTGAAAAGGAATCTGTTGCTCATATAAGCTATGTGATGGACCAACACAGAGTGGCATATGTTTACGAAGTAGAGTGGAAAAGATAAACTGATTTTAGCATTTTTTTACATAGATCTGGTCACTACCCAGTGTTTGTGAAGGT